GTGTGTGTGTGTGTGTGTGTGTGTGTGTGTGTGTGTGTGTGTGTGTGTGTGTGTGTGTGTGTGTATAGACAGAGGACATCTGTACACATTTAAACTTGGTGAAATTTGTTGTACAGATGTTTTTTTATATCTCTACCTTTAGGCCTGATTAGGACGTTAAACCCATCAGATATCATCTTCTGTGGCTTTTTTTAAAAATGTGTAACTAATAAAGAATATTAAAAACTCACAATTAAACCATCTAACTCAACAACCAAACGCTCAAACATACTAAAAATGTAGTTTTTTTCCCCATTTATTCATAACATTTTTGGATTTGCCGCCTTCTGATACACCGTTCCTGTGCATCAGAATTATAAAAAAAAGAAACACCAGACTTAATGAATCACTTTCACTATTTATTCTTTCATAAAATCCAGATTTTTACCTGCAGCTTTTTATTTCTGCTCCGTTTCTTTCATTTTTTTACATAAATAATTCATTTTGTCATGTTTAGATGGGACATATCACTAACTCTTTTATGACACCGATATGCAGATTTATTTTTGTTTTTATAAAGGTTTTTTTGTTATTTAGCCTTTTTTTAATGTTTTGGTTCATTAATACTAAATGTGGTCCAAAGTCAAGTTTTCGTTTTTTCATGTAACAAAGTAAAAACAATTTAAAACTTCTTTCCTTCTGTTTAATTCAATAAATTTTGACACATGGATACATTTTTTATGATTTAATAACAAATTACAAAGTTTCTGTATTATTTTTATACAATCAAATCATAAAAAACTGGTTTATTATTTAAAAAACACATTAAAGAAATGAGCTACAAAAAGTAATCCATGATGTTTGGAGGAGATCAGTGAGATTTTTCCCTCTCCTCGCAGCGAGGACCTGAGAAAGATGGCCGACAGCGGCACTTGTTGGGAGAGATGCACTTCCCTCCGTTCAGGCAGCTCCGGCTGCACACGGCTGCAGCAGAAACAAATGGGGGTTTAGCTTTAACGTTCTGACACCGTCACACCTGTAAACACTAAGTTCCTCACCTGTATGACAGGCTCCGCCCAGCCAGCCCTCCGGACAGCTGCAGGTCCCCGGAGCCACACAGGTGCCCCCGTTCCTGCAGCCCTGCGGACAGATCGCTGCTCGGGGAGCAAAACCAGAGAAGTGAGGAGGTAAAACAGCACATTAGAGTCAGATAGGAAACCTGCTGGATGAAAAGCTGCAGCTCCTCCTGTAGACTGATAAATTCATATTTATCAAGCTGAACGCACCGTGTTGACATGTTGACCCGGTCCAGCTGGAGGTGCAGATGCACTTGGCCTCTCCATTGACCGCGGTGCACTCTCCCCCGTTCCAACATCCTCCATCACACGTCACTGAGACACACACAGGTCAGCAGGTAAACCTCGTTTTAGATTTTAACTGCAGTAATTAAAAACACAACCTTTTTCACATCATAACATTTAGAACTTCACTTAAAGCTGCTCACCTTTGTGACAGAATCTACCTCCGAATCCAGGTGGACATCTGCATTTTCCTGGTCGAAGACACTCTCCACCATTTTTACATTTGGGAGAACAGTTGGCTGCAAAAACATAAAATATCTTTAATATGCTGTAAATCTGAACAGTCTAATGATAAACACACAAACAGATGTTTTTTTTCTTTATATTTGTTCAGTTTTTTTAATCTTGTGAGCCTCATGGCTTTTTATTTTGCTTCATAAAAACCAAACATTGTGAGTTTTAGTTAAGACAGGGATTTTATTACTTATTTTATGTCAGTTTTAGTCAATATAGGGAGAAGAATCCAGCATAAACCTGAGCCAGGACCTGTTTACTTAATTTTTATCCTTCGTTTCTTAGTTTTTCAGCTGATGACTCTTTGAGAAGAACCTTGATGGACCTAATGTCAAACTATTATCATTATTTTTATTATTATTATTATTATTATTTGCTTTTTTTCACGCTGTTAAATCAATGAGAGTCTAAAACTAACTGAAACAAAGTGCCCGCTGAGATCATTTGGACTATTTGGAAACAAAACTTGTTCATTTTTTAGGTTTAAATACCTGAATCCTTCATATGGAGGTGAATTAGACAGCTTAACAAACCAAAAACTGATCTGTGAGAAAAATCTGGTCCATATAAGATTATAAAATAAATTAACATGAAGTCAAAGTTAAAAAATAAACTGGTGCTCATGGATGGACAAAACAGTCTAAAGTCTGGCTCTTTGGAAAGCAAAAGAGTCAGAGGTTGTCTAAGAGTTTTGCACAGTAATCAAGTCTTAATAATTAGTCCAACAGGTCTAACAGGTCCAGTTCAGCCCAGACCCCCTCACCGTACTGGCAGCTCTCTCCCTCGTAGCCCTTGGAGCAGAAGCAGGAGTTGTTTCGGATGCAGACCCCTCCGTGCGCACACGGAGGGTCGCACTGCGCCTTCAGGTCGAACACAAAACCCACGGCGACCCCCCGCGGTGCGTCAGACCCTCCGGAGCAAAGACCCGTGAGAAGGGCGAGCAAGAAGAGGGGGGCAAGAACTACTGATCCGGGACCTGAGAAGCCCATGGCCGGTTCTGGTTCTGTGTGTCAGGGAAGGCAGGCTGGAAGACTGCTGACAGGGACGGTCCAACAAAGGAGGGGGGTACTGGGCGGTCCTGAACGGGGGGGCTGACAGGATGATAAATTGGTAAATTACAGAAAACTATCAGCAATCAGATCTACTTACTTTAGATGCAAAAACAAAGACTGTAGATAAACCAAATATGATTAACAGACAAGTCTGACTGCGTACAGACCTCCTGCAGACAGATGGATCATGTCCAAATGTCAAAACCAGAACTTTCAAAAGGACTCTTAAAGTAGACATGCCATTCCTTTAAAATCATTTTTCACATTGAAATCCTTCAGTTGGAGGTCTGTATAAAGTGGAACTGCAAGGCTTTGGTTTGAATTCATCTTTACTGCAACCCAACAAGGACCTCCGGTTCTGGTTCTGGAGCAAAACAAGGAAGAAAATAAATAAATAGAATCAAATCGAGAACTTTAACCCCTTAACACCCATTTTTGGGTGTGTGAGTCTCAGATCAACACCCTGCCCCCACCTCCCGCTTCCAGACCGGCCCATTCAGGTTTGATAGAGAGGTTCATGACTATATAGCAGCACAGACTCTTTTTTTTTGTGAAGACTTGTCCATCCAGACTTACATGTTGGAGTCAGAGTCTGTGTCCAGATTCAGGGGCTGTGTCCCTCAAACGACCTGGCCTTCCCAGTCTACATGGGACGGGTTCTTGGTAGACCGTGAAGACATGGGAAAAAGTGGCTGTAAATCTGGACAACACCTTTCTGCTTTATTCCTGCCCTTACCCCGGCCACTAGAGCTGCTGTAAACTTTCATTTTTTATACCAACAGATTTGTTATTTAAAACCGTATTCCTTTATCTAGGTTCATCCTCCATTACAAGCAAATAAAAATCTCCGGTTGGCCTGCAATGCATTATGGGATAGGCTGGGCCGAGTAGCATCTACCGGACCTGCCCCTCAAATCGTGATAAAAGGACACATTTACTGGCCGCATCAGAGGAGTCTTTGAGTTTGGACAGCCTCCGGCGCGGTGCAGTGACGTAAGCCGACAAGTCGACCTTCAGAGAACACAGCCCCTGAATTTGGACAGAGCCAGAGTCTGATCCAGATCCAGATCCAGAGCCAGAGGAGAATGAAGACCACCAAACTGTAATTGGTAAGTCCCGACATTAGCTGCATCTGCACCAGCGTTGCTCTTAAAGTATAACAGGCCAACATACCATCAGTCCAGACTTTACCTGCATGGACTTAAAGTGGCCTAGTTTAGATTATACCCTGGATGTACCATGTCCTGGGCCAATTATACCCTTCAAACTAGATTATACCCCCATGAGATGATGAGCAAATGTCTGAAAGAAAACATAATTCCTAAAACTGCTCTGCTGCTCATTCAAAAAGAAAGAAAAACTGATTTCACTGCTGTGGTTCATGGAGAGCACATGTGGAAAAGCTGTTTCCTTTCCTCTGGTTTAAAGAACTCTGGGTTAATATGAAGTATACGGTTCCTCAGTAATGACATTACCAGAACCCAGCCTGAGGAGGAAGTGTGTCTGCTCAACCGGACCTTCGACCTGCTGCCTGACAGCTCACAGTAAAGGATTTCTTTTTGTTCGCTCACAAACACAAGTTGTTCTTCCATCTTTTTCTAGTTTAATCCTCCATAATCCCAACGTCTAACAGTTAAAAACAAACTGTTTTACTTGGTTTCTGGTGAATGTTCAGTGTTTGCACACTTTTCACTTCATAGGTTCTGATCCTGTGGAGTTCTGGTTCTGATCACAAACCTGAACCCCAGAGAGGAAGCACAATTCATTTTTAACGACTCCAACAGATGTGAACATACCGAGCCACGCTGGAGACTTTCCACAGTGCTGACTGAACACATCCAGTCTGTGTGCATGACACGAACACAAAGAGCTGCAGAAACAAAAAGGGTTTTCTTGTGTTCAAAACACACCTGTTACCTGTTTCTCAATTATACATCATTGTGAAAATACACTGAGAATGTAGAGAATAACTGCTGAAGTAGAGTAGCTAAAAGCTAAATGGTGCAAAATTATTGCTAAAATAGCTAAATAAAAGCAAAAGTATTAAATTGTTAGAAGAAGCAAAAGGTTTGTTAAATAGCTAAAAGTAATAAAATGCATTGTAAAAGCAGCAAACATAGCTAAAAAATAACTATGAAAGCTTATTGTTGCAAAAGGTTGGCTGAAGCAGGAGTTCAAACTTTTCCATTCCATGGCCCCCCAAACAGCATGAGCTTCTGGCTGAGGACCCCCCTTGCAAACTCAAACAATGCTACAAAATGTGTACAAAAAAACTTTTAGGAAGTTTCTCTCTTAAATTCACCAATGAAACATTTATTAAATAATTACATTTATGTTTTATTACATAATTATTACATCTGTTTATTATGTTAACATGTTTTAAACACTATTTTAAATTCTCTGTAATACCAACTTTAACAAACTGTTGAAAATAAGAACAGAACAAAAGAAATCAAACCACTTTTAAGTCCTCTTAAATAACATTTAAATATATAAATTGTTTTAGATGATTGAAAAACATTAAATTTCATGATTTATAACATCCTATTTCCCTCCAGCTCTGAGGCCCCCCCCTTGCGCCCCCTGGTGGCCTCCACTTTGACAAATACTGGGTTAGAGGCTTTTACTGGAAAATCAAGTCAAATGAGAAAAAAAGCTAAAAAAAATAATTAGCAAAATAAAAGAAGGCAACTAGTTATTTAAAATCTTAAATTAACAAAAAGCTTTCTAAATATAACAATATACCATCTTAAAGAAGCAACGGTTAAAAGTAGCTAAATCTAATATAAAAGAAGCAAAAAATAGCTAAACCAGTAACTAATGACTGCACATGGGTAATTGTAGCAAAAGGTTGGTTAAAGATTTCAAATGAAAACACAAGCTAAATGCAGAAAAATGAAAAAGTAACAAAATATCAAAAATCATACACTTCCTGTATGAGCTGAATATTTTTGTTTAATTTTTTTATTAATTAAAACAAAAAACATTTGGAGAAAACTAAAGATAGTTTTGTTACCTGCTTTTATTTTGCATCAACCTCAAGGTGTGTCAGCTGTTTATTATACATATTGGAAAAAAATTACCATAAATGAAAAAAACCGTGTTTAAGCTCAATTTTTGTGAATTTTCCAACTGAATTTGAATATTTTGATTGCTCCTTCCTCAGTACTCTAAACCAAAGCTCAGCAGTTTGCAGGAGAACTCTGAGAATTTAAATTTATTTAAAAACTTTAAATAATTGAAAATGGTTACAGCATCATTCTTAAATGTGACCCAAGGTGAAGCATGTCTTGTGTTAAATAAACAAATAATTAAATAAACAAATAAGCAAATAAAATGTTACAATCACAAGAAGAAACTATGACCAACTTTTGGAATTACGAAATAATTTTATTTTCAAATTCATGCACAAAAAACAAAAATCACAAAACCTAAATGCAGATGTTAAAATGTTTCCACATCTTTACTCTTAAGAACAGTTGGTTTTAAAGTGTAAAAATGGTAGGAAAAGTCACAGATTAAATGAGTAATTTACCTCCTGTTAATGAATTTACTCTGTGGTGTTACAAACATCTATTACACAAAAAAAAAAAAAAACATGAATGTTAATAAAACTATATATATTTTTTAGAATATCTAAACACACAAATAATAGATTTCAGATTGAACAAAGTAAGAAAATAAGGTCTAAACTTACCGGAAGTTAAATCATGATATTGTTTAAAGTTTGAGAGGATTTAAAATAAATATTGTTTCAAATCACACCACATCCTACAAAACGGGGAAAAAATTAACGAGAATAAAGACGCTCCAAAAATCGAACCAAAATCAGATGAGATTTTAAAGCGAGCAAGAAACAGTTTTACATTTAAATTTTCACATTTGTTGTTTTTTGCAAAAAGTAATGAAATTATTTTCCCTTTTCCATTGTGATTTTTTTTAACTATTTAATAAAACGTGCTTTAAAAAAAAAACCCTACACACATTAGCTTTGAATTAATATTGCTGAATATGAAGTAAGAGGAAAACAAAAACATGAGACCAGTTAGGTGTATTAAACTACATCAGAGATGACATTAAAATAAAAAGTTGTATGAAAATAACTTAGCTTTATTTATTTATTTAGTCAAATATTGTTTCCGTCTCACATTTGGAGCCATTAAAATGAGAACTTTCCTGTTTATGTGTTGTATCAGACTTAAAGTGCATCAGAACTATTGCTTTCTGCTACCATTATCTCAGAGTAGTGATATGTTAGGACACTTTAATAAACATTTATCTGTCTGCAGTCCGGCTGGAAAACCTCCAAACCTGAAGGCGAGTTCTGTAACGCTCACTGTGAAAGGTTAGACAATGAATAAAGTGGTTGAAACTTAAAGAATGGACACATTATTGTTTCCAGGTGGACCTTGTTGCTTATTGGTAGACCTGCACATGACCGTGCAGGAAGGTGGTGTTCCCCCCACAGTCCACATACTGGTACATTTCTTGAGAGACCTGCTCCGTGTGACCAAAGTACGACGTCGTCACCGTCACCCTGAAACACAGACGGAGTTCATTTTATCACATCACTGGGTGAGAGTGAAAACTGTTTCTGGTTGTTTGAACCCTGTTGGTGGTGGAAATCACATTCTTTAAGACACAAACAGGTCAAGCCTCAACTGTGGGATAAACTGAAAACACATCTTTAAGACAGTTTATTTCTGTTTCTCAAACTGTTTCTTTAGAGATCCTGGAGCTCCCCCTGGTGGCGTTCAGGAAAACTAAAGATTTCACCAACATTTTTAAAGCAAACAAATCCTTTTTGTTCACATTTAAATCCTTCAGTTGGGGTCTACATAAAGTGGAGCTGCAATACATCTGAATTCCTACTTATTGTAACTCCACAAGCCCCGCCCCTTTTCTGACCGCCTCAAAAATGATCAACTCGTTTTGAGGCTCTCTAAAAACACAAACGAGGCGCTTCAAACCCCGCCCCCTCCAGCTTCCAGATCGGTTCCTTGTAGTTTTATAGAGGGGTTTAGGACTATATAGCTGCGCAGAAACATTATATTTAAAAATGACTTAAGACGTCAACAAGGGAAGATTTGTCTGTACAGCCTTACATGTTGGATAGAGATGGGATAAATGGCTCTTTGAAGGGATCCGGATCTTGGGGAGCTGTTTGTTTTATAGAGCGGTTCAATTTTGAACGTATTACGTCATTGCGTAGCCGTACGTAATGATGTAATCCCATCACGTGGGTGGAAACGTGTTTGTCAAGCGGAAACCCCCCTCCCCCTTTCACCGTGAGCTTCTGTACTCCACAACTCCGCCTGTTTTCCGTGAAAAAGCAAAGCGGGAGCGATTTAAGTACGAAAAATATAAAGATTATATGAGAAATAAAAGAAATAAAACTACAAATGGCTCATTACTGCCCGCGATTCGGCTCCTATCGTTCGTTGTAAAGAGCCGTTCAAAAGATTCGGATCGTTCGCGAACGTCACATCTCTAATTGTGGAGCTAAATTCAACTTTTCTGCTCTCCTAGAGACTAAATAAATAAACAAATAAATAAACAGCTAAAAAGTGAGTTTTGACCAGTTCATCTCTCACATCTGTTGTTAATGTGCAATCCTACATGCAGCTTTTGTTTACAGACACAACCAGTGTGACGAAAAATAATCCCAGGCTTCCCTTTAAAAAGATCTATGACCTCAGTGGGATTAGCCTGGTTGAATAAATATTAAATAAAATAAATTGCACCTTTTGATCTTGTTCAGGATAACTTTTTTCATGTTCGATTTCTTACTGTGCTGCAACAAGTTATGTTTTATTCTCAAGCAGTAGATATTTTCTCTTCAGAAAGCTGAATGTTTGCCTCATAAAAAGGTAGTTGAAAATTAAATAAACTGATTAAGCTGTGAAAAAAAGCTGTTTGGACGTCAGAGCTGATGTGTAAACGAGTTGTAAACTGTTGGAGGCTCGTCTCTCATGACAAATATCTGCACAATAATATAAAGAAAGTGGACTTACTGCATCATGACCACTATGTTGTGAACTTTGATTGTTGGCAAAGTGCAGTAGTCACTGTAAGAAAAACCAAAACAAGGCAGTTAAACATAAAAACAATAGATCTTAAAGATATTTCTCAGTATTTGGAAAATACTTACAACATGTAACTCATCTCATCAGCGATGGTGGTGGGAACCGTGTAGTCGAGCTATTTAAAAAAGAAAAACAGGATTTATAAAAGTCAGAAAAAGACGGACTGTCAGTTTAGAGTGAGGTGCTGCCTCAAGTGGAGGAGTTTAATTTACTAAAACTAATTTAAACTGCCCTTTAAGAGATAAATCAATGTACAATTCAAACTAAAACCATCCATTTATTTTGAACAAACTGAGTCTTTAAAGAAAAAAACAATAAAAAAAACAACTCAGAACTGATCACACAGGTAAGTTACCTGTCTGATCAGAGTTTGTACCTGTTACTCCAGGTGAGGAGGTTATTAAGTGCAGGAACATACCTGTCGTTCATCCAGCGGTATGATCACCGTGGTGTTGTTGAACTTGGCCTTGCCTATCACCGTCTTGGAGAACTGCACTTGTGCTGTGATGTTCGTCACCGATATGGCGTAGTAGTTGTTGTTGGTGATGTTCAGAGTGTTCTGGTGAAAAAGTGAATAAAATACAGGAAGTTAGAACGAGCTGGTTGCGAGATAGGAAGCAGTTTGTACAAATGATGTAAGATCTGAACTCTGTAACGTGGAGTTCCTCAGGGTTCTGTACTTGGTCCAAAATTATTTATTTTAAAAACATGAAAGACTTGGTAAATGTGTCAGGGCTTTTTAAGTGTTTTGTTTGCAGATGATACATTTTTTGGTTTTTGTAAAGATATAGAATGGATGTTTGAGATGATGCAAACAGAATTTGTGTAAATACAAACTTGGTTTCAACTTAATAAATTATCATTAAATTTAAAACTAACTATATGGTATTCAGTAATAGAAAAAGAGCTATGTTCCATTTAGAGTCGATGGTGTTGAGATTTGTAGAGTCAGTGAGGTGACGTTTTTGGATATTGATGAAAAGCTCACAAATTATTTAACAACAAAAATAGCTAAATCTATTGCAGTACTGTATAAAGTAAGGGAGTTATTCAATGTCAAGCTCTGTATATGTTGTATAATGTAATAATTTTTCCACACTTGATCTATTGTATTGAAGTTTGGGGAAAAGCATGTAAAACAATCACAAGTCCTATGTTTGTTTTACAGAAAAGAGCTGTAAGAATTATCACCATAAAGCATTACAGTCACCCATCAAATATATTATTTTATCAGCTGAAATTATTGAAATTCTATGATTTGGTCAATTATAATATTTTACAGGTTATGTTTAGGGCTGAGAAAAACATACTGCCTTTAAACATCCAGTTAAACTTTGTTTAGAGTCAGTTATGATCTTAAAAAGGGACAGAGATGTTTGTGAAACCTAAATTTCTAAACCAGTTTGAACGAGTGGTGTACTTCAATCCAAGAATAAGATTATGGAATAATCTGGAGAGTGTTAAAAATGCCAGATCAATGTTTAAGAGAATGATAAAAGTCAGTTTGTTAAAGAAATATAGATTAGTATAATGTGTATCCATAAGAATTGTTATTCGACAAGAATTTGGTGTTTTTGTTTTGTTTTTCTTATTTGTAGATTATTAGTGTTTGAATTTTTTTTTTTTTGGAAAAGGGGGCAGATATAAGATTTTTTTCTTCTTTCTGCTTCCTTTCATATTATTTGTGATTTGTATTTTTTTTATTGTATACAAAATGTATTTTGTTATTTTCAAAGAAATTAATAAAGTTAAACTAAACTAAAACTGCCTTTTAACATAAGCCCCCAAAGTAGATGCAGAAAAATTGTAGCTTTTATTAAATTTTTATTAGTTGTAGCTATGTTTGTTGTCACAATGGGGCTACATGCTAATTTTAAAGCTAAGTCATTTGTTACTTTAAATTGACTCTAAGAACCCAGTCTGGAGATAATTACTCGATTGTGTACAAGCAGTCACGAGGCGGCGCCAATAAACAAACATTGACTGCAGCTGCTCCAATGCAAAGTCAGCAGGTTTTTGTTGACTTACTGTAATGGTGAGATAGACAATTCGCTTCTCCTGGTCGTAGGAGACGTAGGCAGACTTCACTCCCACATAGGTGACATCAATGGAGCGAGGGAACAGGAAGAAAACTGCCAGACCAGACAGCAGCAGGCAAAGAGCCACTGATATGGTGACGTACAGCTTTCTGCAGGAGAGGAGGGGAATTTAAAAAAGATGACACCTTGAAAACCTTGCTGCCAAGTTCACTTAGCTTCATCACAGAGTTAATCCATAAAAAAGAAGAAGAGAAAGCAGACTTACGTCCTGCTTGGCCTCAGCCTTTGGTCGCTGTATGGAATCAGAGCCACAAGCTGGTTCTCCTGACCTGAGGAGGATTTTTAAAACAAAGACATTCTTCACAACACATTTAAAGTTAAGTTTTACAACTTAGAAGTTGTAAGTTTGAAATATTAACTTCTAAAATGAAACTGTCAGGAATGTTTCTCAAGTATGGCTTTTAAAGGACTCATCTGTAGAGTCCAACGTTCAGTGATTATACTGACAGCGTTTACCTCGGGGAATTCTGCCGGTGCCCTGGCAGGTGGGACAGGTCACACTGTCCCGTCCGGTGAATTCCACATAAGGGAACTGAGAAACGTCTCCGTTCTTCCCGTCCTCCTCCGAGTCTTGACTCTCATCCAAGTATTTGGCCAGGTGTGACTGGGCCTTGCCCATGGCTGCTGTCCTGTCTGTCTGCAAAACGACACAAAGGTACAGACTAACAACATGCCACAGATACGTACGACATGTAAACTCAACAGGGACCGATCCCAGACAACACCTATGAACTCGCTGGTTGTTACATCTAGAGCATTATAAGTATTTTTTTGACAATTTTGCACATAATAATCTCATTGTTACATACTTTCCTAACAAAGTACTTTGCTGTCAGAGTGAGGGTTTACTCATGGTTCCTAGAGTTTCTAAAAGCAGAATAGGAGGCAGAGTTTTCATCAGGTTCCTCTCCTTTGAAACTAATTTCCAGTTTCACTTCATGAGACGGATGTGACACTTTCCTCTTGATAAATCCTATAGTTAGGGTTGGTTTCCTGCGTATTCTTTTATTTCTGCTGCTATAGACTTAAACAGCTTTGCTTCTTCACTCGCTTTACTCTCAGTGGGCCTCATGCAAGAACATGTTCGTATTCTTATCCTAAATTTCTCTTACTTTTGTTCGTACGAAGGGTTCGTACGAACATGTCACGTCAGATTCAACAAACTCTTCTATCTTCAGGAAACTCTCCACCCCAGACTGAAGGGGCCTACCTCCTGGGTTCGGGCGTGAGCTGCCCTCTGCAGGGGGTAGGTGCATATCCTGGGCC